GGGTGGGAGACAGCAGAACCAGGTCATCTGCGTAGAGCAGACATTTGATTACTGAGTCGTGTAGAGTGAGACCAGGAGCTGCGGATCGCTCCAGACTGAGCGCCAGTTCACTGATGTATATATTGAATAGTGCTGGGCTCAGGCAGCAGCCCTGTCTCACTCCACGCTCCTGGGAAAGGAACTCTGTTCTTTTTGTGCTCATTTTCACACCACATTTGCTTTCAGTGTACATTGATTTGATCAGATCGCAGGTTTTACCACCTACACCACTTTCAAGAAGTTTGTAAAACAGTCCTTGGTGCCAGATTGAATCAAATGCTTTTTTAAAGTCGATAAAACATGCATATATTTTGCCTTTATTTTGGACGACGTGTTTTTCAGTGAGAGAATGTAAGGTGTAAATGTGGTCAGATGTTCTGTAATTTGGTAGAAATTCGATTTGACTTCTGCACAAGACACCGTGTGTCATGATGAAGTCCAGCATTTATTACTCTCTTTCTCTCTCTCTCTCTCTCTCTCTCTCTCTCTCTCTCTCCCTGTGTGGAGTGCATGCTGGGAGCGGAAGTGTGGTGTGGGGTGTGAGAGCGGCACACTTGAATCAGTTTCAAGGATTAATACTTTTTTCTTTTTTTTTGTGGCTTTTTATTTTTTTCCTTGTTTCGTTTTTGGGGTTTAATTTATCACTTATTTGGTTTAGTTATTTATTTGTTTTTTAAGAAAAACACCGGTGTAGGTGTATTGACTGATAAGGGGAGCCATGGCGTCTCTCTCAGGCGAGGGAACGCCGGGGCTCTCCATCAGGAACGGATGTAAAGTTTTCTCGGATCAAGCGTTTACGGTAGAAGACGTGCTTCTGGCAATGGGCGAGGTTGTAGGGCACGAAAATATATAGCTTCGGCCTCCAGAATGAACAAAGCCGTGGTGGTGTTTCTTAAAGAGGAAAAGCTTGTAAACAGCCTGGTTGAAAACAGCATTGTTGTTTCGGATACCTTGGTGCAAGTAATGCCTTTGCGCGCACCTGCTGCTAAGGTCACCATCTCAAACCGTTCATCTCTAATGAGCAAATTATAAAACAAATGAGGCGCTTCGGAAAGGTTGCTGGACCCATCAGAATGGTTCCACTCGGGTGTAAAAACGCCGCATTAAAGCATGTGCTGTCTTTTCGGAGACAAGTGTTCATGTTTTTAAATTTTTATCTCGCTTCGTTTGCGTTGTTTTGAATGCAGAGATTTGGGACACAAGAAGTTCACGTGCCCGCATAAGAAACAAGCAGAAAATGGAAAGAATGACGGAAATAAAGATGAGCAAACCGATCAAAGCGAGAATAACGAAAGCCCAGATAAAGGAAAGCGGCCCATATCTGAAAAAGAGGAAATGATTCCGGAAAAAAAATGGAAGTTAAACGGGGCTAATGATGAGGAATCGGAGGCCCCGGGTTCGGGTTCTGGTTCGGGTTCGGCAGGTGAACCCAGCGGTGCTCCTCAGAGCGGCCCTCCACCCGAGCAGAGTGCTGGAGATCCGGGCTCGCAGTCACAGGTGAGTGAGTGGGTCTCATCTGTGCGAACTGGTGATAACGCTGCTGGCCCGAATGTTCTGAAGGATGATGATGTTGCTGTTACGGAGGTTGGATGTGTTTATGGTGATGAGGTTCCGAGTGTTAGTGGGTTACAGTCTAATGCGCTTGTGGAGAATGAAAAGAGCGATGGAGAACTGATGGAGGACTGATGGAGGACTGATGGAGGACTGATGGAGGATTGTGATAACTGTTCGGAATTCTCGGAGGTTGATTGTAATCAGACTTGGGATGACGTGTATTCTGTCGAAGAATTAAATAAGTTTCTGGATTTAACTAAAGGGAAAAAGGTTGATGTTGCAAAGTTTTTCCCCGATGTGAATAAGTTTATAAAATCAGTGGTGAACGCTCAGAAGACGGTGGGCTATGATGTCATTTCAAAGCAAAAAAGATTTAGGCTGAAAAAGTTTCTAACAACTGCACGTAAGGCTCAAAAAGATCACGTTAAAGTGTCAAAATGGAAGAAATAAAGCACATGGGTGAAGGATCTCTCTTTGTTTGTTTTGCTTGTCTGTCATTCTCTGTGTTTCCTTTCTCTCTCTCCTGCAATGCAGATGCTTAGAGTAGGATCTTTAAATGCGAATGGGCTGAGGGACGGGCAAAAAAGAGCTCTGCTGTCTGAATTTCTTAGGCTTAAAGATACTCAAGTAGTATTTTTACAAGAAACTCATAGTGACATAGAGAATGAATCTGAGTTGAACCTGTGGTGGGATGGAAAAATGTGTTTAAGCCACGGCACAAATGTCAGTGCAGGTGTAGCGATTTTATTCTCAACTCACCTTAATGTCAGTATTTTATCAGAAAAGGAAATAGAGAAAGGACGCATTTTGATGGTGAAAGCTAAAGTTAGAAATCAGTTATTTGTTTTTATAAATATTTATGCTCCAAATAAAGGGTCAGACAGAAGTATCATGTTTAGAAAATTAGGAGAATTTTTGAAAGACTATACTTGGGATGGTGCTTTAATCATTGGTGGGGACTGGAACTGTACTCTTAACTTTCTGTTAGACAGAAATAATGAGGAACCACATCCTGTATCAGCTTCTTTCTTAAAAAGCTTCATAATTCAGAATGATTTGGTAGATATTTGGAGAGACAGGAATAAAGAGATGAAACAATATACATGGACAAAGGTTTCACAGGGACTGATAAGTGTAGCAAGACTGGACAGGTTTTACGTCCAGCGTGCTGAAAATAATAGAATAACGGGTTGTGATATTTCCCCATGTTGTTTCTCTGACCACCATTTTATTACAGTTAATGTAGCTTTGACACAATCTGAAGTCCTTATTGGAAATTTAACATTGCATTGCTGAAAGAAAAAGAGTTTTATGAAAAATTTGAACTGTTTTGGAATGAATGGCGCTTTAAGAAAAAGGAATTTGAGAATGTGATACAGTGGTGGGAAATAGGAAAGACGCAAATAAATTTTTTTGTCAGCAGTATACATGCTTTTCAACAAGAAAAATTAAACAGAAAATTGCTGAAATAGAACAAGAGATCTTACACATCACATCTGGTATGATTCAGACTTCTGATTCTTCTTCAGCTGGCATTTTAT